TATATTTTTTAGTTTATTTATATGGATTGCTTTTTTTATCTGAAAACCCGTATTTTAAATAGATTTTAAAGTTTATATCACTATTTCAACATTTTATTCATTGATTTTTTATAATAGTAAGTATAGCATTAAAGTGATATTTTAAAATAATAATAATAATAACTTATGAGACGATAATACAAAGAAATATTAAAAGCCACATTACATATTACGGAGAAAATATGATATTCAAGTATTTTTAATTTATATACATAATAGTTTCAGATGAATGATAATATTAAAATACATACTTCATGTAACTCATAAAAAGAATTTTCAAACGAAGTTTGAATGTACAATTACCTATTGGATATAAAAATAAATAGCACCATAAAAACATTTAAAAGCTTATTTCGTTAATTTGTGTGCAAAAAATGAATTATATATATTTATACAAAATAGGTTTACAATGTAAACATTATATATAGTGCTGAATAAATGAATACAATTTTTCATTATTATACATAGTATATAATGTTATTGCAGGATTGAATTTAAAAAAGGAAAACGTACGAACAAGATACAGATCAATAAATGTTAATGCTATTATGCTTGTTTAAAAAAAATTTAAATTACGATTAATGTTTGCATTTTTGAACAAAATTCATAGTAATTATTATTGAACATACCTAGCATGCTTATTAAATGTTTTCAAATGTCAATGGTGCATAGTAAAATAAACGAGTAAGTACTTTCAAAATGTATCAAATAATATTATTGTAGAACGAATGAAGTTGTGCTATAATATTTATAAGTTTACAGTGTTATAATATGCATCACGTATAAAATATCAAAATATACGCTAACATCTAACATGATCGATAAAACAAAAACAATTTAAAAGTGTGTTAAAATAAAAAACAAAAATACCCATCGATCACCATAATTATTATATGTACTCATACAAACATAAAATTAAACCTAACTCATTTAGTATTATTATATTTACATTTTTTGAGAATAGGTAATTACAATTTCAAAGTCATTTAATGATTATTCTTTATTTTAAAACTAATGATATATTTTTCATGAAAACATATTCAAATATTAAATAATAAAATAAGAGGTAAAGTCTTAAACTGATTATACGACTTAAACAAGGATGAATTCATATTCATCTATATAAAAAAAAAAAAAAATAGTTGTAAATTCGAATTTTTGATTTTTTTTTTTTAATAAAACATTGAATTATTTTATGTTAGCGTGCTGTTACGTTTTATTTTTTTAATCTAAACGCAATAATGCAACATAACAGAGAAAAAGCAATCACATAAAATCGTTTTTATGATTATTATGTAGTATTTGAATATAATAATTTATAGGCAATAACCATTTAAAATGAACTGATGAAAATAATATCTTAGAGTATTTTACTGAACATTTTATCTAAAATTTATTGTTTCAAAAAAATGTAATATTCATTTAAATGTATAAAATATATTTTTGAGGCATGGATCGAGTGGTGTAGTATAATGACTATATATAGCCACTAAATAGTGCTGCGATCAACCACCGTTCGGCGTCACTAGTTCTTGGATTAGCTAGTTCCCTAGCAATGAAGTCTTATACACAGATACACGTGTTCCAAGACCCACAGTACTATACTCTACAGCAACACAGTAACAAACATAACAATTCCACAACTAATGGTCTGTGTAATCGAAGCTTTGATTAATAATAACAAACAATACATTTTTATTTTTAAAGGCTTTTATCAAGACAAATAATACCTAAATATAATACAAACTCAAAACATTAAACTTTTTTAATGTTACTATGAATACGTTTTGTAACTGGTAAAAGTACTTTATTATTAATTAAAAATCATAAAACATGATGTTTTTGTGATCGTGTTTTCATCGATGTCGTTGATCAGAGAGAGAAAACAGATAATGCATTAGCGACGTCCTCTTAAATAAATATGGCCGAAAGCTAAGCTTATTTAAATGTAGAAGATTATAATATTATTAATAATGACGAAACTGTGACATTATTCTTTTGCATCATCCCATCAAAATCGTTTAAGTTTAAATGTATTCATTAATCTTTTTTTTTCTCAGAATGTATAATTTTTTCATTAAATAGATTTTTTTTACTCTAATAATACGGAAATAATTTACATAGTATACAAATACATTTTTGTACTTATTTAGTTGACCAAGACATTTATCTCGGTAAAAATATTTGTCGGGTACCTCTTAAGTCATAAAAATTTTGCTCTAAATTATTAAGTCTCAAGTCGTCTTTTTGGATTGCATAATGTAAGACATACCTCCTAATTTTCACTTGAATTACATCAAAGTATCATTAATTTTATGTTCAAATAAATGTCATTGAACATAATTTCGCCATGACAATATTGTTTTTGATATTATATTTTACTGTTCTTTTCTTTCTGATGATGTGACGCGCGCATGTGTTATCGATTATATATGTTTATTAATTATATTGTATAATGGGACCAGGTAAACGGGACGCACGTAGATATTCAATTTGATAAAAAGTTTTTTAATTTTCTGAAAAATACCATACGAGTATTACATTATATTGTTATTATATTTAGTAATATATTGTATATTATACTTTCCCGCGTTATACCAATGACGACCGGAGGAAATTAAACCTGGTAGAGGGAAAAAGTCATGTGTAAACTCTATAGTATGGTCACTCATGTTTCACTTATATAGTATAGTATACAATATACATTGATTATATTTTGAATTTTATGCTGTTAAACTATTTATATTTTATAGGTACTCACTCAGATTGGTATGCAAGAATTTAAAAAATTTACTAAACGTTTAACGTATACTACATAAACATAATTAGTACTGTTATATTTTTATTTTACTTTTTGTTTTGAATAATTGATTTACGTTTGTTGAAATTTTTGGGTTCTAATTATAGCATAGCCAACATACAAAAAACGATTTGATGAATCAAACACGAAATCGTGTTGTCTATATAAAATTTTTTGGTTTACAAAGATGCAGATTATTAATGTTAAAAATCAATTATTTTTTATGAAGTAGAAGTTTTTAAGTAGAAAATGGCTAAGTAAAGGTATAACAATATACCATAGATTTTATTGTTTTAATATTATGAATGAATACAATACACTCATATTAACCTTCGATGTTTTAAATATTTAAATATACTCGTACATTATTACTTCTTTCATTGTAACTAGTGAGTCGAAATAAAATTGAAAATTTTTATGTTTTAATATTTTATAATGAAATCAATAAGATATTTATGAACTGTGTAGTATCGAGTAGTATATTTGAAAATGCTTAATATTGAATGAGTTAAAAAAAAAAAAAAAAAATTAAAAGAGTAATAGCGTTTCAAGTCAAGTGGTGTTTGTATAGAAGATTAATAAGCATTTCATGTAATTTATCGAAGTCTACGAATATTGATCCCATCACCAATATATGTAATATAATCGTTGTGATAAATTTAATTGTAACATTAAATTAAATTTTGCATCTGTAAAAAAATTTAAATTATTGCATAGGTATATTCAAACAGTGCGTCGCTGTTAATTATGATTTCAACTATGTCTTATATCAAACGTTAGAATAATATGTATAATATAATATATAAATTTAATATTCTTATAACTTTAAGATATCGTTTTTTATTATTTTTTTTTTTTGTTTCAACAGATTTTACGATTATTTCTATTAAAATCGTCTTTCGAAGGTAATAAATGATTGCACGGCGCTTTCAAATGTTATTATGTGTTTCAACCCTTACACTTTTTATTAATTTAAGTGTGGAATGATAATTACGGTTTCTTTTGTGCACTTTACATTGACCCAGTATACTATAATTACGGTTGTTTTAATGTTTTTTTTTTTCTCGACGACGTAACTATACATAATATAATTATATATAATGTAAGTACGTCATACGGCGTATATGTACATACTTATTATTACTTATTTAAAGTGAACCATTTTTCTGTGCTAGCTCTTAATGTCCGTTAAATTTATTACATAAAACACACTATTTAAAATGTTTTCTCTCGCCGTAGTACAATAATGTGACAACATTAAAAGATCCAATTCACACACACACACACACACACACACACAAAATAAATAAATAAATAAATAGTAATAATAAAATTAATAAAACAATAATACGAAAATATAATATTATAAATTTTCAACCAGTGTATATTATTATAAACTTCGATGTTAAAGGCATGGTTTGAATTTATCAAAATAAATTTAAATGTTTTTCAATACTCTTGCGTTATAATTTTATATACCTATCCGAATTTATGAGTACATATATTTATTTATACGTAAACATTATTGTTTCACCTGAAAATATTTATTTTACTCTCAAAAACAGTTTTACAAAGAAATTTAGAGATATTTCAAGTTTAGTATTTGTGATTTTTGACAATACGACAACTATTTTGTATATTGACTCTTATGTATACAGAATGATTTACCAAACATTATGTATTTTATTGAATTAAGCTTTTTGGTAATGCAACACATATTTTATATATTTTTTTAATAAAATATAAAAAATATATATAAATATTAGATAAAATAATACTGAATTCTAGTAGCTATAAATTTTTGTGTTGTGGTAATTTGTGTGTTCGCATTGTATTTTCCGAGTTTTTGATAGCAATTTGATGAACTTGGAAATGTTCTGAGTTAACGTTTCAGTTAGATAATCAGAAATAAGAAATTTCTCCTTTCCCTGTCATATATTCAGCATTCAGATAACATGTGTTTTGCTGTAAAAGAGACTATACAGCTTAATGTGTCACTCTTAAGTTAAGATGAGGGTTTACTTTCTTCGTTACATGGAAGTTAGCGAGGCGTGTAGTATGTTTTCTTTTTAGCTAGTCGAACTTTATCGGGTTGTTGATGGAATAAAACCAAGATTATATGATTATTTAACTCTTAGATAATTATACTTCCATTTTACAGGATGCGAGCGTAATTACAACGGCGACTGTGGAAAAATCAGGGGCGCAATGCCCGGTGGTGGTGGTGGTGGTAGTGGCGGCAGCGGTGGCGGCAACAGTCAACAGCATAGGCTAGACACGATGACCATGTTACGGCGGAGAAACCGCAGTAACCGCGGACGGTTGGTCCGTTGGGAACGGGTGTCCGAGTGGACAGGAACCGCGCATGTCACCGCCTGGGACGTGATCGTCCGTGATTCGTTACTACACATCGCTTGGCCTATGTCATTGGGATCCGAGCCGGTCGGACCTCCACTGGACCAGTTGTACGTTACCGGGTAAGTGCACCAAACTATAATATAATATGGCCCTAAGTCCGATGATTTTGAATCACAATCGATTGTTCAAGATTATAGTTAAGTTAGATGAGTATCACACGATTTATTACAGTAGAGTGTGCGATTGGACTTAAGATCAATGACGATTGTTATGTTGTGGCGTATTATAATACCGTTGATACAAGTCTGTGCGACATAAATATTTTGGTATGCGAGTTTGAAAAGAGAAGTGATGTTTATACAATATTTTTGATATACATTTATCACTATTAAACGATTGACAATCATCTCAATAATATATAGGTATAGGTCATTAATCATTAAAGTCAGTTCTACAGACTATTATGATAGTATATCATTTTTATCCTCAACAGTATACAATTTAATTTTATAAAACATCATACTAAACTTATTACAGAGTATTTTTCAACAATTTTTAGATTTAAAATAATTATAAATGGTTACCTAGTTTGAATATTTAATTTTTATTTAATATTTTAATACGCATCAATAATACGGTTAGCGTTATAATATTTTATATGACTTTATTGACTTAAAATTTACACATCATTATTTTTCATAAATTTATAAATATTAAATACTTAAAGTAATATTTATTTTATTTTTTCAAACAACAAAATCGGTGAACATGAAAAAAGTATTATAATATATTATTCTTAAATATATGAGTATATATTTATTCACGATGTCTTTATCACAAATATGACTATATGAGTCGTATCTTGGTGTATACGTATATTTTTGTATATATATAGCCTACCATGATTAAATTGGAGATTGATATTATTTGGAATATCTTTGGTCATTTAGGATGTTTAATAGAAAATACTACCTCAGCGGTTAAATAAATTAAGCCTTTTTTTCGTACAAAAGATAAAAATAGTTTAGTATATAATGCATTTACCTCATCAATCATCATCCTATTATTATACTCTTTGAGTAGGATTATATTATAAATCTTATCGAGTAGCTAATTAGTTTGGTTTATAAACTATAATACTATACACATATTTATATATATATATATATATATATATATAATATAAGTATCTACTTCCTACATTTACACGACTACATTATAAGTACTGTAAGTACAATGTTTGCAGAAATAATCTTCAAGAGTACAGATTCCAAAAGGATTAAAATGAGGCGTAAAAAAAAACAAATACGTGTATTATACACAGTTTTATGATCTTTATCGTTATTATGCTGTGTAGAAATTTGAAGATGATTTTATGATAAGTGTCACATTTTTTTTTTTAAGTACTAGAGCTATAATATGTACCTATATAGCTATTTGTCATTATAACTCCTAAAATCTAAATGATAATAATTACGTATGATATAATAGTTAGGATATAGCAATTATATCATTTTCTGTGGTTTTTTTAGAATGAATAGTTTCAAAAGTATGGTTGCTTATTATTATTTTATGTTTGCGAAAAATGCATGTATATGTAAATAAAATATTATATAATAATTAAAAGATTACTCTAAATTAAATTATTTCCAAAATTATAAAATTATAACTTGTTTATTATGCTTATTGTAAGTATGAATAAAGTTGATAAATATTATTTATTTATTAAAGGAACACTTTTGATTTGAATAATAATAAACAGTTTTAGAAATCGCAAATACATTATTATCGTTGTTTTTTTTTTTTAATCAGCTTAATCTATAGACTTTTTAAATGTTGAAAAACCATAAAACTCGAGGTAATAAAATATAAAAATTAAATTAAATGAATAATCTATAAGTTAATTAACATAAATGCGTGATTTCATTCAACAAGTAAGTACATACTATTGTTGATAGTGAACACTCTTCGATCAATTAGTCATTCCATGATCTTAGACAAACTGCGTACAGGACAGCTATGTAAATTGGCGTAATATTGACTAGACGTGGCATCATAATATTATATTATACATGTAAATATTGACGTAATGACAATGACATCTTAACCCATGTAATTTTATCCAGTTATTGATGAAAGCTTATAACGAATTATAAAATATACAAATAAATATAACTATGTTTATTCTATCATAATATTAAAATATATTTCGTTATAGAACCTTTTTAACATTTATCGTTTCTACGGATGCACCAAAATATTATACACCATATACTACATTTAAAAATAATAATAATTACATATCTACTATATATTTAATTAAAAATCAATTAACTTTGGTGCACTTTCTTTAAAGAACAATAGATAAAACGTAGAAGATATTAAAAGGCATTAAACGACATAAATTAAAACTTAAAAAAAAACCTGATCAAGTATTTGAACACTAGATGACTTAAAAATAAAAACGACGAGAAAAGACATAGTTTAAAAACAAAAATTCATAACTAATTATCAAAAAAGGTTGTTATTATGTTTAAAATTGTGGAATATTTTTTAAATTTTCAAAAAATTTAATCTTGCTCCTCCTAAAAGAGAAACAATTGTTTTACAGGTAATTTAATGTCATACAAATTTGAGCTTGAAATGCTCAAGGAGATTTTAGAAGATTATGTGACACAATGGCATGTCACATAATATGAAATATTTATATCTCCTTAAAAAAAAAGGTTCAATGATTTTATAATTAATATTATATTAAATACAACTATTATTATTTTGAGCAGTTATCCACATCTTCAACGGTGCATTAAAACATCGGGCTGTAAAAGTAAATTATTAAATAAAGGTATCCTTTTATATTGCATTGGATTATTATATTTTATGTAGAATTCGCATTTTATCCATAACACCAATAGATCACTAGATACAATACTACACCCTGAGATGTTCGTTCAAATGTAGATTTTAGGTATTGAGCAATATGATGAGATGAATGGTTGAACAAGAACATATTATATTATTATATTTGTAACAAGTGCATAAGCAAATCATGCGGAAGTCATATCTTATATCGCCGCTAAACATTCAAAATTATTGCCTTTGTCGCGTAAGTATCTGTCTGTGTGTGTCAGATGTATGACACATGATATGATGAGTTACCACGTGTTTAGTTCATTTCGTACACATATTCACCATGTTTAAACTCTATAACACTGGAAACTTAATTAATATACCAAGTAAAAATATTATCCATCACTCAAATATGAAGATGATAAACAAAAACTGAATATAATGTTTCGAATTGTCATATTGACGCTGTATTCGCATACCACGTTACCTATATTGCGATTTTTCAAAAAACTAACTTTTGTTTCATGCAAAACGCAATTTTCATTATAACATATTAATGTCACTCCTGTTGAATCACTGCATCAGAGTAGCAGGCTCGCGAACATTTTCTGATGTATAAATTATTACGTGGCGATTATGATAAATCATATTATTCACATCGTTAGGCATAGACCAGCTGGCAATAAACAAATATAAACATGATACAGTCGATTTGCTGTGGGATTTTCACTTGTACCGCGCCAACAATAATATTATTCAATCGTACGTGACATTATTATGGATGCATGTAAATCGGCAACGAAAAACGGAATTTGTGTGTACGCTATTTCAACATTGCTTTTTTTAACAAGTTGAAATATATAGGTGGTTCCAATAAAATATATTTCAGTTACAACATCTAAGTAATTTAACTGGTAAATAAGTTATTTTGTTTCTGATTTTGAACATCTATGTTGCTATAACTAACTATATATAAATAATTAATTGAAATACAATATAGATTGATATGATTGATCGATAATTTACCGTGTTATAATTTAATGGGATTAATATAGTATTAATAACTATATTTTTACGCAATAAAGGCGGTAACAATTCTAATATCTGTATAAAAATGTCAATTGTTAATAATAATTATTTTTTAAGACTTTTTTTTCATTTTTTTCATTTCTATGATATGTTTTGATAAATTTTGAACTTCTAAAAATCTTCCCTCTAGTAATTTTAAATTGTTCATAACCTCAATAAGAATTTAACTATAAACATAATCATTAAACAAAGTTGTAATACGTTACACCTATTCGAATCTACGCACTTCTTACTAGTACCAAGTTAAGTATTATATTATTTAAGTTCAAATATTAGTTATTTAACTGAATTTTTTAAAAATTTAACCAAGTAATGTTCACATATCACACAATTAAAAATATTCAACACTTATTTCAAAAGTATTTTTATTGTAGTTGATAAAGTTGATTTCATTTATATCTATATGATTAGAATTGAGGATAAAAAAATGGTTAGAATATTTGTAAACAATTACCTATTTAAACATCCATGGGGGGTCAGACCTCCCATGAACTTAAGATTTTAAATTAACTTATATATGAAACACATGGTTTTTTCTTTAACATTTTTATATTTTTGATTTGGAAATAATTTTAAAATTTTCAAAAAGTTTAAACAAATATTATATTTTTATGATAAAAAAAAATATTCAATACCATGAATTAAAGTGTGTTAAATTTAAATTTCCTGAATCCCCCTCCCAGAAAAAGTTCTTAGCTACGCCACTGGATTGTACAATCAAAACAGAAAATATAAAATGCATTGAGTTAAACAATTTTGACTTATTAATTTTATTTTATTTTTAATATTTGAGTGAATTATCTTATTGTCAAAATTTAAGATAAGAAGTTATCTATTCTCAAACGTTGGCTTTTTGATGTTTTAACTTTTAAGCAAAATTTAATATTATAAAACAAATTAAAAATGCTCATACTAAGTTTAAAAATTAGAATATTTTGTAAAATTAACCCTTAAGCACAGAAAATGTCTTTATCTTTAACTTTTATTAGGACAACTCGTTCTAATATTAAAGTTAACAATACAAAATTGGTTCTTCTGAATGCACATTTTCTTTCTTGTATATTTGTAAGACAGAAACAACTCGAGTGAAACTATTTTAGAAGTTGAACTCGATTGACTTATTTTATTTCAAAGTGTGATACATTAGTGATGTGAAAATTCCTGAAAACTCTTTGGAATA